GTGGGCCAGGGGGGCTTTAGGGGGATCTGGGGGGCTCCGGGGGGGATCTGGGGGGCTCCAGGGGTCTGGGATGTGCTCAGGGAGGAGACCAAGAGTGTGGGAGGGCTTTGGGGGGGTCTGGGGGCCTTTGAGGGGGTCTCAGTTTGGGGTTCTCTGGGTTTGGGGGATTCTTAGGTTTGGGGTGTTCTCAGGTTTTGGGGGTTCCCAGTTGGGGTTCTCTGGGTTTGGTGTGTCCGTGTCTTTAGGAGGGATCCCAAGGAAGGGCTGTTTTGGGGGGGGGGGGGGGGGAATTCTGGGGGTCTCCACCCCTTCCCAGGACATGGAGTCCGTTTTGGGGGTCCCTCAGCCCCCCTTAACCCCCTTTTTCCCCCCCGTCCCCCCAAAGTTGGGGCACCCCTCGGAGCTGCCCCCCGAACCCGCCCCCGACTACGAGGGGAACGAGGAGTTCCTGCGCCGGGTTCACCACGTGCTGCTGGAGGTGAGGGGGGTCCCCAAACCCCCTGGGGGGGGTCCCCAGAGCTGGGGGGGCCCCCCTTGACCCCCCTGTGCCCCCCCACCGTGTCCCCCCAGGTGGAGGTGCTGGAGGGGGCCCTGCAGTGCCCGGACTCGGGGCGGCGCTTCCCGATCTCCAAAGGGATCCCCAACATGCTGCTGAGCGAGGACGAGGCCTGAGGGGGGGCCCCAATTTATGGGGGAGGGTCCCCAAGGACTGGGGGGGGCTCCCCCGGAGTGGGATTGAGGCGTTGGACCACCCCCCAAATAAAAGAGTTCTTTTATTCGTGTGGAAAAATTCCAGATTTTATCTGTGTGGAAAAATCCCAAATTTTGTTTGTGTGGAAGAATCCCAAATTTTATTCATGTGGAAGAATCCCAGATTTTATTTGTGTGGAAGAATCCCAGATTTTATTTGTGTGGAAGAATCTCAAATTTTATTTGTGTGGAAGAATCCCAAATTTTATTTGTGTGGAAGAATCCCAGATTTTATTTGTGTGGAAGAATCCCAAATTTTATTTGTGTGGAAGAATCCCAAATTTTATTCACGTGGAAGAATCCCAGATTTTATTCGTGTGGAAGAATCCCAAATTTTATTCAGGCCCCCAATTTCTCCTCCCTCCCCCCAAAAGCTGCTGTTAAAGCCCCAATGGGCGGCGGGGGTGTGACCTGATTGATCTCATTTGCATAGTGGGTGGGGTTATAACTAACACCACGCCCCATATGCAAATGACTGCTGGTCAGCTATTTGCAGGGAGTCGGCGTGATTTGCATAATGGGCGGGTCTTGTAAGATAATTGGGGGTGTTTCTCATGCATATTCATGAGGGGTTGGTGCTGGCCACGCCCCTTCTGCTCATCCCTCCCTGTTATTCCCAAATTCACCTGGATCCCGCCTCCACCTGGATTTTCAGGCGTTTTGGTGCAATTTGACGATTTTATTGTGGATTTTTGAGCCTTTTCTTGCTTTTTCTGCCCCAAATCTTTCTCCCAATTCCCCCTTTTTTCCCCCCTCTCAATTCCCCTTTTTTAACCCAATTCCCCTTTTTTCCCCCAATTCCCCTTTTTCCCCCCAAACTCTCCCATTTTTCCCTAGAGG